CTATTCTATTCTATTCTATTCTATTCTATTCTATTCTATTCTATTCTATTCTATTCTATACGGGATCCACCACTTCTCCTTTCTTGCGGAGATTTTTCGACTTTGCAATTGAGGCTACACTCCAGGTGGTCTCCCCTCCACGAATGAAGCCAATCAGATCTTGGTTCACAAAGCAATTTCTCTTTCAGTCGCTGCGGGCTTCGCACAAGTTCCTAGCAGCCCAGTCTTCCGGGCCTTCGGTCATGGATCCAGTCATGGATCAGTTGACCCAGGGGTGACCACAGGGTATGGTCAAAAAAGTCAAGATGGCCCCCATGAGAATTTTTTTTTTAATGGGGAGCTTTTTAGGAAATGGTTAACTCCTTTCATCTGCTTTCTCTCTCAAGCTGGGGATCAGCTGTCAGGAATAGGAGGAGTGACAGTAAGATGGGTGGTCTTCACCCACCAGGTCTCTAATCCGGAGTCTCCCCATTTTACCCTCTCCTCCCAACCTGGATCACTGGACAGCCCCCCAAAATCTCATCAGCAAACCCTCCCAAAGCAACAGACATCCTTTTTAAAAAGCCCAATCCTGTACAGTTGACAACCAAGGTGTACAATGCAATGGAAGTGCTCCCACTTTACTGCCGCCCCTCCCTGCGTCACAGGTTAAGTCAGACTTTTAAAGACGGGTTTAGCAGTTCTGCCAAAGAGCAATAACCCTGCTTTAAAAGTATGCTGGCCAACAGGAGAGAAGCTGGGGGACAGGCTGTGCAGGGTGGTGGGACACTTGTCTCTTGTTGTACTGCACGTTCCCCCAGCACCAATTATTTTTAAATGTGGGTTTACTGTTCTCCAGAAGGCAGCCTAAACAGTAGGTGACAGGAATGGCGGGGCGGGTGGAGGGGGAATCACAAGCAATAACTTTAATAGGAATGGGTGGAGGTGGTGGAGGCGGCTTCCCCTCTCCCCCTCTATCAGGCAGTTCTCCTCTTGCCCCCAGTGGTTGGCTGTTGCTCAGGTTGATCCAGGACTCTGAGCCTGCAAGGTATATGGAGAGACCCCAGCCTGAAAGATCTAGGGCAGTGTTGTCCAAACTTGGCCACTTTAAGATGAATGGACTTCA